GCTACTCAGCGCTCATTGGCCAAGTGCCAGGCAGTGCCGTCAATCGATGCCGCGAAATAGCATTGCCAAAGAAGTTAGAGTGTCCCCGTTAGTGGCGGTTGGGCCAAGTCAATTTTTCGTAATTCCTAACTTGCGTGCTCGCGTCTACAAATAAAGTTCCGCTGTTACGGTTCGTGAGGTTTGTGTGGTGTTTGGAATTACAGATAGAGGGTGGAACTGAGCTTATCTTTTATTCTACTTATTTTCCAAATTTTTTTCTGGCTGATACATTGGGACCTATCGCCGTTGAGTGGAAAAATTTGAAATTTCGTGGGGCGCGTAACTGAAAACTTTCCTTTGCTAGCATTCAAAGCAGATGGGTATTTAAGATGTTAGATTTTTTGAAGGAATAGTGGGAAACGTATTAGTGGCGTGAAGTAGGAAGAAAGGAGCAAAATCCCCCTCCCCCGAATTATTCAGGCCATCCCCATCCAAGTAAGTTTCAGCGAGCTCAAACCCAGACATCGGGCATGCGTCGTACCCGCGTGCGGGCCCGCGAAAGTTTTTTCCAGTAAGTTACTAACTCAGGAGCCAGGAAAACTAGAAAGCTGAAATTTTGAGGGGGTGTTTCCTGCCAGTCCTGGCAGCCAGTCTTAATTTGTTTAGCTTGAAGCATTTGCCGAAAAAACCGATGCTGGCACCAACACAAATTGAGGGGAACTCTGCAAAAAACGCATCTTCGCACGGGCAGCCCGTGCATTGACAATTATTTTTTTTTTTTGTGACAAAAGCGTATGTTTGCATGCATTTTTTTGCAGGGAAAAGGTCTTGCTCCAAATCTGAGCACTCAAACGGCTCCACTGATGTCGGCAGATTTCCTGTACTTTCTCGACCGAATCACGCAAAAAGTGGTGAAAAGTGTCGTGGATCAACAACGAACTGCTGTATGCGGTGATACCTTTGCTGTTCCAAATTGTGCCGAATCTGATGAAAAGGTTATTTTTGATTTCCGATTTTTTGGTTATTTTCGGGAATTTGTATTATGGCAATTTTCAGTGACTAAGGGGTCAGGCTAGTATGTGTGTATGTATGTGTGTGTATGTATGTATGTGTGTGTATGTCCATGTGTATGTGAGATATGTGTGTGTACAGCAAACACCTAGTGATAGCTATATGTTTATAATTATATACTAGAGGCTACAATTGTACAAAACACTTGAAGTACGAGAGGAGAATAATAAATAAAATATGGCGAGGCTATGCGGAGCCGAAGCTCCCCGGAACAGAGTGGTCCGAGGAAGGAACAAAACAAACGAGAGCCTGGAGATGAGGAGGAGTGCTTTTATATCCGGGTGACCACAGATTACAAATATGTGTTGCATTATAATGATGCAATGGTTCCGTACGCAATGCAATGGTTCCATACGCAATTTTTAACAAAAGGTGTGGTCAAAAAGTTTAAACCAAGGATGAGGTAAGTTTGCTAAAATAATTTGTGACCGTTGGTAGGACGAACCATAGTATTTAACCTGTTGCTTGTATGCTTAAACTTGCTGCTGACCACTAGCCTGTTTCTCAAGCCGTCTCAAGAAAACACCGTTGATATTCTTGCTACTGGTCAGCAGTAAACGCCACCGCATATGGGTCGTAGATATGTACATTTTGACTTTCTTCCTTCTGAACTACTTTCTTCCTCGAATCGCGCATGAACAAAAAACTTTCAGGTTTTGTTTATAAGGCGTCGATCCGTTGCTGAACTGTCAAGACTTCGACGTCAGTTTATCACTTACATGAAGATGCATCCAATCGAAGATATAGACAGAATTGCCCAATTGTTTGTACATTATTTGAATGCTAATCCATGAACATATAATGCTGTTAACAATCCTGTATCTCATGCTGTTTTTTTTGGATTAAGAGTGTGTTTCGCTGCACTCGCATACAACAATCTAATGATAATTTGATAATCGTTAACATCGCTGCCCACCCATCTCTTTAACTTCAAAATTTTTGGGATTATCAAAATTTTTCAAACTGTTATTACAGTTGTTAATATTGTTGTACATCTAAATTTTGTGCGCAGCTATGCCAGGTCTTTCGATCCTAGACCGTATACCTCCGTTTGGTACCGTCGCCTGTTCGATATTCATAACCCCTACCTCTGAGGTCCACAAGAGTGGTCGTTTACATCTGTCAACTATCGGCATGATGAGTAAAATTGCCTGTCGGATTTATTTTCCATTCTCGCAGGCTTACAGTGGCATCCTACTAGCTACTTGTTTGCGTAAAGAATGACTTTTTTTAAAATCACACAACGACACTTCAAGCACACTTCATTCCATTGTTTTGTCTTTGTCACAGCTAGCGTTCGCTCTTCAGCTTTCGTCAGTGATCGCATTCCGCATCCGTACGTCATTGCCTTCAACACACTGGTATTAAATAGTTGGGCATGGTCGTTCCGGTCCGACACTTTGAGGACATCGGTGTTGATGCTGTGGAATTTGCGCCAACTGGCAGCCTTTTGATTTGCGATTTTCGGGTGGAGATTGTGGCGCATATTTATCCTTTGGATTAAGCAGACTACTAAGTTTTTTTTTTGGCTCGTAATAGTGTAGTTTGGAAAGGAATCGAAGAATTTACGAGCTTAGTTGTTTTAAAATGGTAGAATCGAAGGGCAACTGAGGGACGAATGAAAAATTAGGGCCAATTGGTATACCAAGCTAACATCTTATAGTGCGAGGAAGGTAAAAACGGCCCAAGGCTTTGTGTGAAAAAAGTGGATTCTGCAAAATCCTTTATATCTCCATCTGGCTTATTTTACAGTACTGTAGGATAATATAACTTGGGCACAACATCATAGATCATTCATTGATTTAGTGAGACTGCCCTCCCCCCTCCTCATCCTTTTGGGTAGGGGTGGCCATGCTGGCTTTGTGTGGCTGGTCAGTTGGTCACTCTGTGGACGTTTGATTATTGGGATTCCGGCTGTATTCAGTGATTGTGCAGTCGTCTTAATATGTTCTGCATTGTTGGAATATGTGGCATTCTAGTGGTGGTGGTTTTCTGCTTCTGTTGTGTTGAAAAATAGGGAGGGGGAAGGGGGCGGAGTCAAGAAGTGAGGGGAGGGGCGCTGCTACGCCATCTGACCTTTCAATTAGTCCACATTTCGCGGGAAAAGAGCTGGATGAACGGAGGGCTGGCCTGATTGGGCGGTGGTCGAAGTGGTAACAAGTATGCCAACAGCAACCACACGCTGGTGAACCAATCGGTGCAGTTTGTCAAAAGTCGACCTCTGAAGAGACATCGTAATTGTTGCGGAACTGACTCCTGTTGGGCAATGGAGGGGCAAACTAAGGCAGTTTTAAGAAGAATGGATACGGGCGAGTGGAGGGTACTTGCAAAAATCGGTTTCGTGTCGCTGGTCAAAAAAAGCCTGCGATATTTTGGGAACTCCTGTTACGCTTTGCGTATTGTATTTTTGTTAAGACCTAGAAAAACAACTGTTTGTGAGTCAAAATCAGTACCAGAATCCACTCCTTATTTGCTTTCTGTATGATAAGTTGAGGGACTGGGCAATAGTAGTAGTCGAAGTGGTAACAAATATGCCATTAGCGACCACTCGCTGGTAACAAATATGCCAGTAGCAACCACACGCTGGTAGCAAATAGACCAATAGTAACCACTCGCTGGTTGCAAATACGCCAGCAGTGACCACTCGCTGGTAACAAGTATGCCAGTAGCAACCACTCGCTGGTAACAAATATGTCAATAGCAGCCACTCACTGACAACAAGTATGCCAGTAGCGACCACTGAGCTGGCAACAAGTATGCCAACAGCAACCACATGCTGGTTGCAAATGTGCCAATAGCAACCACTCGCTGGCAACAAGCATGCCAATAGCAACCATTCGGTGGCAACAAGTATGCCAATAGCAACCACTCGCTGGTGAACTCATTAGTGCTTCCTTCAGGGGCTGATTACAACTAAACAAAAACAAGACAGTTTTGTCCACCAGCTGACATAGTTCTAGTTTTCCCTGCCAACTTCCTCCTCGCTCCTTCCCGGCTTTTTTCAAGCACATTTTGCCCAGGTTCTAAGCCATAAAAGGTAGCTCTAGGGCTTTTTCTCAGGTAGGAAGTGTGGGAAGAAGCGGGCGAGAATGGCTAGCAGCGGTGGTGTCCACTATGAATAATGCGAATCGGGATACCTCCACAGGGGAATGAGGGTTTTTTGGAGCTGCAGGATCTCGCTTGGACTGGAGGCGTCGAAAAGATATAATAATAGTAGTAGTAATAATAATAATATCAATAATAACAATAATGGCAACAATAATAACAATGATAATAATACGATAACAATAATAATAATGGTAATGGTAATGATAATAATGGTAATAATAGCAGTAATAATAATAATAATAATAATAATAACAGCAATGACAATAATGACATTAAAAAATAATAGTAAAATTAGCGATGATGATAATAAACGATGATGATATTAGCAACAATAACAGTAACAACAATAATAATACAACGATAACGGCGACAATGATGTTATTGTTGATAATAACAACAATAATGATAATAGTAATAACAGTAACAATAATAATAATAATAATATAGCAATAATAATGATAGTAATATTATTTATGCTTTCCAGGCAAACAGAGGAGTGTTGTTGTCTTAATACTATTTATGAATTAGTATTTTTTGCAGCAGCGAGTATTTTGGTTTTTCTGGTTCAGCGACAGTTCTTCATTTTCAAGCCAATGTTGTCGAGGTGCCAAATTCTGCGTGCCATTTGCCGCTCTCAGGTTTCGCTGAAATTATGCAGTTCGACGGCGACAGCCCAGAACAATATAACATATCGTATGGGCCTGGATCCATCCGCAAGCCATGCTTCACGAACTGCTGTAATAGCCGGCGAAAACAAAATACTTAGCTACGGGGATCTGTCAAAACGGGTGGGCTCCGTTGTTACACTTCTACGCCACACCTATGGAGTTGAGGTATTTTATTTTTGTTGTTTTTGATTAGCTGTTTTTCGGTGGTCATGTTCCTCCTCGCGTGCCATTGATACAGCTAGCAACTTCTCCATTCTTCAATCTGTTTTGAGCTTTTCTCATCCGCATAATGTGCTGGGGAGTCGAATCTTTAGACGGCAATGCACTACTGATAAAAAAATTTTTTTTTATTTTTTGCTGTTTTTGATTACCTATTTTTGGCGGTCATGTTTCTTCTCGCGCGCCATTGATATAGCTAGCAACTTCTCCATTCTTCAATCTGTTTTGAGCTTTTCTCATCCACATAATGTGCTGGGGGATTGAATCTGTAAACTAGCGATGGGCTGCTATAAAAGTGTTTTTTTTTATGTTGCAGCGTGGTGATAGAATATTGTGTCGTGTAGAGAAAACGGTAGATAGTTTAGCGCTATATTTGGCAACTTTACGCCTCGGAGCGATCTATGTACCGCTGAGTCCAGCCTACACAGCCCCCGAAACCATATATTTTGTCAAAGTAAGTTTTTTTTTTTTTTAAATCCCCTTGTTTTGATAAATACAAGCATTCTTCCATGCTTATTTTGTGCCTTTTTATGCATTTTTTGCATGTGTGCAATACAAAAACGCATATTGCCGAGAGGCTGTCTGTGTGTTTATCCGTATAGATTTTTCATCTCGAGACCTACAAAAGCTACAAGGCTGAAACTTTGGGTACGTAATCTACATATAAATACGGGTCCTCATCGCCAAAATGGGCGCTCTTACCCGTGTGGTTTCCATGAACAGACCCGACAAAATTTTTGACTGGTAAGCTGCTAGCTCGGGAACCAGAAAAACTAGGGAGCTGAGATTTTAAGTAAGATATTCCTCGTCCGTGTAGAACTTAATGATTTCAAACCCAGCCCTTCGGTATGCGTGATTCCCATGTACAAGTCCGTGAAAGTTTTTTGCAAGTAGGTTGCTGACTCGGTAAATTGAAAAGCTAGAAAGCTGGAATTTTAAGAGATTATCCTCGTCAAATTGAACGATCGGAGACGGAAAGGGATTGAGCCAGTGGTAATGGGGCTGGTTTTCTCGCTGGCGGAATCGAACGTTCGGCTTTTGAGCCTTACAGCCGTGCTACTTCTACTCCTCTATACCTGCTGGCATACACAGTGGTTTTGAGGCTTTTTTTTTCCATTGTAGCAGTATTCCTCAGAAATAATAAACGAATTGAATCCCTTTTTTCGCTTT